CAGATATAAAATTCAGTATAAAATGACTTAAAATAATTGAAGAAGAGTTTTTTTTGTGTTCTCACAGGATATTCATTGATTCTCAGTAAATCTCTTTAAATACAGGGCTTCCTTCTCCTTCAGCAATGATCATTAGTTAATGGTATAAATAATGAAATCAAAATAAAATTTTCAGTTAGTAAAATGTTATACAATTTTTCCATTTTCCTTTAAATGAGAGAAAATTTAAATTTTATTTATGTGAGTTTCTTACAGTGGGATAGGTGAGCATGTTTTTATTAGTGTGTGTGTGCATATGGGTATATGTGGGTGGATGTTCATGTCTATTCATTCATATTATGTATGTTTATGAATATATTTGTGTTTCTGTATGTTTATATATATGTCTGTGCATGTTTTTGTGCTTATTCATGTGTAAATAGTATATATATATATGTATGCTTGCTTCTGTGCCTGCAGTTTTTACATGCTTTTGTGCTTGTTTGTGTGTGTGTAGTTTGTATATATCTATGTGCTGTTTGTGTGTACACATGTGTGTATGTTTGCATGTGTATGTTTGGGTATGCCTATGTGTGTGTACGCTTGTGTTTGTGCATAGGTGTGTGTATCTTTGTGTGAGTGAGCATGAATGTGTGTTTATGTGCATGTTTTGTGTATATTTCTGTGACTCTGTGTGCATGTGTGTATCTTCATGTGTATTCATGATTGTGTGTGTTTGTGTGTGTGTGTGTGTGTGTGTGTGTGAGTGCCACCACATTAAAGTTTTTTCAAGAATTTCTCCTATGGAGGAATCCTTATTATGATAATTTCAGAGATTTTTCCTAGATTACACTGATACAATGTATTAGAGATAGGAAATATATGGTGCTTTTAATTTTCAATAAGTGACAATTATTAATTTTTAAAACACGACTAAACTGTTTTAATACATTCATCATTTTTTAAAAATTCACAAAATATCACTGAGTATTTGTAACATATTAAGTCAATCCTTGGGTTAAAAACAGCAGTGTGACTATTCTCATTGAGAGGGTAGGGAAAGGTAAGTACTTTAAGTCTGCAGAAACCCTTTGAAGAAAAGTAGCCATATTTTGCTCTAATCCCTGCTGCTGCCTTGGATATGATGTGGCCAAGACTATGGGAGTTGAATTTAGGAAACATCTAGCTCCAGAATGATTCCTTGTATACAAAAGAACCTACAAAATTTGTTTCAGTCATTTCTCAAGATAAATTGCAGAAAACAGTTAGAGCCCCATTCAAGTGATGCATAGCTTTTCTTCTCTATTGCTTAGGGCTTAACCAGTGAGACACACTGTTAGGGTCCGTGACTCGGTGGGTCTCTTCTGGGGAACAAATGCACGAGTATGGAGATGCAAAAAAA